GAAGCCGTCAGGGGGGCAGAGTTGCCCTGCCTCGGGCTTCCTGGAATCAGTTGCTGATCACTTTCAGCAGCGGCTGACTTGGGGACGCTTGGGGTTCTTAAGTTGAATCTGTATGTAAGTCTGAATCTGGATGCCAGTTCCGACTTACATACAGATTCAACTTAAGAACAAACCTACAGTCCCTATCTTGTACGTAACCCGGGGACTGCCTGTATTTCTGTGCACTTTGTAGACCTTATTACTTTGCAAGGCCTGAGGCCTACCAAAGAGGGAAGTTAAGTGTGTGTAGATATGTTCTTAAGTTGAATCTGTATGTAAGTCTGAATCTGGATGCCAGTTCCGACTTACATACAGATTCAACTTAAGAACAAACCTACAGTCCCTATCTTGTACGTAACCCGGGGACTGCCTGTATTTCTGTGCACTTTGTAGACCTTATTACTTTGCAAGGCCTGAGGCCTACCAAAGAGGGAAGTTAAGTGTGTGTAGATATATTTGCTTAATTGTGTAGCTATTAAAACATTAGAATAATTTTCCACTTTTTACAAGTGTGGGGAGCTCACCCTTGCCACAGTGCCAGGTGGAGCTGTAGGGGAGTGGCTGTAATTTACAGCAGTGGCAGAAAGTTCCTTGGGGAGCTTATATCAGTGGAGGACAGGCATAAGAGAATGCCACTATGCCAAGTTCCCATCTCCTCCCATGTATGAGTGGGCTTGCTGTCAGATGAGGTAGCAGAAGCTAGAGGAGCCTCTGCTAGCTTTCTGCTTGTAGAGAGTTCCCCTGCACAGAAGCAATTCTTCACTGGTCAGCTAGAGACAATTCAGCCCATAGTCAATATATATATTGATTGCTGGCTTAGTATATAACTGTCTACTTTTAACACTGCATTTTCAATCATGCTCAGAAAATTCAAACCTTTTGTATACAAGAAGTCAATAAGGGTGTGTGTGTGGTATTTATGACATATAGTATTCATATATATTCAGTGGATTCACTGGACATTTTAAGTGAAGCACTATGACTTTTCCTATGTTGTGCAATCGAGGATGTCAGTATCCTAGAAAAATGGACTGATGAGCTATAACATGATTTAAAATCATCTACTGATGATAATATTGTGCTATTATATAATAACTTTTTTGAGAGCAGCTACAAATACTTTAACAAAAGTGGATAAATATTCTTATCCCAAGTATGGAGATGTCACAAAAGAAGTCTATTGAAGAGACAGGAATAGATCGCAAATCTCCTGACATCTAAGACAGAGCCTTTTGAGTAGAAATGAATGATACATTATTATATGCTAATTATTGTCCAAAGTGGAATAGTGAAAAAAACCCACATCTTGTCTAGCAGTGGTAGATTAGCCACTGGGCCAAAGGGACTTGTGCCCAAGGGCTCAGTCAATTGCAGGAACCGAGGAAAAATGGGCACTGTCTGATTAGCTCTGCAGGAGTATCGGACGGGCAGAGTCCCCATACACAAGCCTGTTCTCTGGCAAGAGCACCAGGTAGATGGAGCGGGGGGGGAAGCTCCTGCACTGTATCCCTGCCAGCTTGCAGTAGTGCTTGGGATTCTTCTGTCCTAAGTGTAGGACTCTGCACTTGTCCTTGTTGAACCTCATCAGACTTCTTTTGGCCTAATCCTCCAATTTGTTTAGGTCACACTGGACCCTATCCCTACCCTCCAACATATCTATCTCTTCCTCCAGCTTAGTGTCATCTGCAAACTTATTGAGGGTACAGTCTGTCTGGTCATCCAGATAATTAATGAAGATGTTGAATAAAACTGGACCCTGGACCAACCCCATGGGACACTCCACTTGATACCGGCTATCAACTAGACATTGAGCCATTGACACTAGCCAGCTTTCTATCCACTTTATAGTCCATTCATCCAAGCCACACTTCTTTAACTAGCTAGCAAGAATACTGTGGGAGACAGTACCCAAACCTTTGCTAAAGCCAAGGTATATCACATCCACCACTTCATATCCACAGAGTCAGTTATCTCATCATAGAAAACAATTGGGTTGGTCAGGCATGACTAACAGGGATGTTAGCAGGCCTCTTCACCTTGAATGGTCCTCTATAATATAAGTTAATTAGGTATGCTAAACAATCTGTTTGATCTTGTATTTAGCTGTGACATTCTGAATACCTTTTCTAGACCCAAAGAAGAGCTCTGAGTAACTCAGAAGCTTTCACCAACAGAAATTGTTACCTAATAAAAGACATTAACGCATCCAACTTGCCCTCTGAATTTTTCTGTTATTCATATTTTTGCCACGATGGAATTTAAAGTGTAACTTGGTTTTTTTTTAGTTCTAGCTGTTTTATTCTTTGCTCACACCAGTGTCAGAAATAGTAAATTAAACTTCAGATGGCCATATGACACTACATTTTATAAAAGAGTTCTCTTTGTAATTTAAAATATTTCATTATTTTAATCACATGCTAGAATTACTATTATTTATTACATTCTTCTCATACCACTGTTTGCTCAGAGGGTGGAAATTAGTCTCTCCCACCTATTCTATGGTGTTCAAATTGACTATTCTGTGGTTTTTTTTGCTCAGGACTTTTTTTAAGGGTTTTCCTGGGAGTTCTCATTTCCTCGTACCAGTTGGCTTCAAGTTGACATACACATATAGTGAAGTTATTTTCTTCCATGCATCAAGAAGAGCTGTTTGTTATATAGATATCTACATGTTCTTAAAAATTTTCGTATTTTGGGTATTGGAACAGCTGTACTTCCAAAATAACATTAATTTTGAAATATTATATGCTATAGTGAAACAGCTGGTGCATTTCTGTGAATTCTGGCTCCATAATTTCTCCTGTACAGGAAAGGCAAGTAACAATCTGAGATCAGAG